CCATCTGATCAACTAGTGGATTACCAATTATCTAGCTTGGCGTGCTTGAGGTCAGAATATTTGGCCGCCATACTTACGCTAACTCAACGAAATAGCCATTAAAAGTGAGCGAAGCTAGTGTTAGTGTCACTTTTCAAAACGAATGTGGAAGAGGAGGCCTACATTAATTATTTCATAGTCACCACCTGGGTAATGAAGCTAATTGGTTGACGAAGTGTCACTCTTGAGACTAGATGTAAGTAGACAAGCTCGATTACAATAGAAAAACAGAAGTAGGAACTACGGGTTCCGAGACTACAACCCTCACGTGAACTCTTCGTTTAGGAGAATGAACGTATACACGTAGAAGAAAACGACATCAAAAAGGTAGGAGTATTTGGGTGAACTAACGGCGAATCTATCATCGATTCAAGAAGTATAAATCTGTATATTAGAGCATGAATGTAAGCCAACCAAGTATGAATAGAACGCCCCCGATAGGAGTGAATCGTCGAGTATTTTCCTTGCCAGTGAGACTGTAATGATAACATGGTCCACAGAACATGACGATCCCACCTGAAATGTACAGATGATTCACTAGTAGACAATTTCTAAAAACAAAACCAAAAAAACAATGATTATTAGTAATTAACAATAGGATTTTCCTTTCTCTGGCCAAAGATTATGATTGGTTGCATTTATGCTACCGACAATGACATCGGCGTCAGCTTGGCTCTCGATTGGATTTCAGAGTTCAACGACGTGCCGACCGACGGCGGCGCTAGCCGCGTGTTGACAACACTGGACTCGATGGATTACGCGCCAGTGTTATGAACAGTGGCTAGCGAAGCCGTCGGTCGGTCAGTCATAAGGAATACGAATAAGTCAGGATAAAAGCAAAGCAAACAAGCATTTTCGAAGAACTATCAAGGCAGCAAGGTAATCGATCTGCGGGATAACGCTTGGCGGTCAGTGGTTGCTTCCAGACTTCAACGAATTAACCTGCGTGTTGCGTGCGGCCGCACGCACGCATGCAGAATGAACCGTCGAAGTCTGAAAGCAGCCAATGCTTATACTGGCAGTATAAATGCCTCCAGTAAGATGGTGCGGCGACATTATGGTTAGAAAACAAAATTATCAATAATGGCTTACTAAGAAAAACAGCACTCGTAACCAAAGGATAGCGGGCTCGCTGAGCAGCCAGTAAAGCCAATGTGTGAATAAGATGATATCGCGATCCCGTCTCAAATGCCTTCTTCCTTCGCACGTCTACCGATTCATCATCACGAATCACTGGAAAGTGCAAAATAAAACGGTGGAACAATATAAATGATGAGAAAGTTGATAAAATTTTAGGAACTTTGAACAGAGGAGACAGCGGAAAGCACTAGTTTCTACAAGATGAGAAAAACTTCTATTACCTTGGTTTCATCAACTTTGACTCTAACAAAAATAGAAGGTATAGAAGGATAGAAACCAACCATGGGCCCCATAGGCTCCAACAGCAACAGCTATGGCACCGGATAGTCCTGCTATCCTGACGATTTTGTTCATTGCTCCTGGACAAGAAGATCTCAATGGGGCACCTGTGCTTGTGACAACACTTTGTTTCTTTCTTGGTAGCGCCACTTCTGGTATATAGCTCAACAATGTGTTGATCTGCGTTATCAACGACATGGTGGCTTATATCAATCACTGAATCAGGCTTCTTTCTGTTATACGGCAGAAAAAAGGTTACACCACTATCACGAATTTGCAAGAGAATTGGATAAATATCAGCTGTCAAAAACACCCGGTGAATCAGACAGGTTTTATAGACATCTGACTGTTATGAGCATTGATTACAAACAGTTATTCAACTGGGAAAATTTACCATGAAGAGAAACAATCAAGTCCTAAGATAAACTGAATTCCAAGAAAATCAATTCCCCAGATTTAAACTGAATGCAGATGCATTAACTAAAAGCAATAGGAAAGCTAAAGAGACTTCGTGAAACATGAAATTCAAGAAGGCTGATCCGGCAATGACGCTATGGCGTTACCTATACAACCGATCACCTTTGGGAAACGATTCCGATCCCCACTTTGCCCTGGATTAATTTTCATGTAGTTTCGACTGCACGATTGAATTAAGCTTTGCTACGAAGTTTGGCCTCTTATTCCAACGCTTTCGAAATAAAGTGTTCTCAAATCAGACCAACTAACTTGAGCCACTTCCTATTCATCTGCCTAACAGAGAGAACCCTTCACTTCGAGTTTTCCTCCTTCCACTACACGGCAGACATAACCCATCACCGCACGAAACTACCGCCC